GAATTTGTCAAATGTATTGAACTGGTGATCATAGTTTGAACAGTTGACAGCTATAGGCCTACAGCTTTCTTTCAATAATTGAACTTTTGTAACAGGATTATGTAACCAGGATAACAAGATAGAAATCATTAAAAGGTGACTCTATTCCTTTACAGATACAAAACAAATCAGGTAACTGTTACGTTACTTAGAAACAGGATTACTAGCAGTTATTGTCTTTGTTGTAGATTTTAGTTATGTAATCTATCTGTAGGCTCATACTTTAAGGGTTAATATATACGCCTACTGCCTGACTTTTTTAAATTTGTTTTTATTCAGTATTGAACGTAAATGTTAATAAAATGGTGTGCCTGAGCTTAACTCTGTATTAAACTGAAGCTGATTATCTTGTATGGACTGATTAGCATGCAATACAAATACATGTGTACGTTTACTTTACATTTTGCAGTTTGAAATGCAGTCGTGAAGGCTAATACAATCAACATACTCGAAAAAAGCACTTAAAAAATGTACTTCAGAATTTGAGTAAATGTCCTTTTCACAATAGTCTCTGCACTGTTCCTTTGAATATTGTATTCATAATAACACATTTAATTTACATGGCACTTTTCTAGATACTCGTAAACATTCTTTACAAGCATATATAACAACATACAAAGTCCTATAGTGAAAAAACAAGATGCAATGAATTTCATTTAAAAAAACTAAAACAAACAGATAATCGAATAAAAAGCAGTGAGATTGGCAGACTAGCTTTAAAAGCCCAACTTTCCTGAGAGTGTCAACTCTTCCGGTCATTAAAATCACCAATTCCTCAGATAAAATAAACACAGTATTTGGTTTACTCAACTAGCGTACAGACTACATGACAGTGTTTAAGGTGCTGTTTGTGTGCACAATCTCTGGCACTAATACCTGCTAACTTGTGTCAGATTGGATCGAGCATGAACACTTTGAAAGGTGTAAACTTGAACATTTCTTCTTGTTATTCCTTCGCTTATGTAGGCTCAATATAACCTTTTGCATTGTAGCCTTCATGTGTGGTAAACGCCCACAGGTTGTCTGCGTCACTGTGGCTGGCTGGAATTACACCACCAAACTCTTTGCACAAACATCCCTTTGTAAGAGCAGTCATTATGAGTTATGATGACAGCCATGGTAGTAAATGCAAAGGTGTTACTTTTAATGTTAACACAGTGGCAGTCACAGGGGAGCTGTGAAATGCAAAGCAGCTGAATGGAATTCAGTCATAGTTTAGTACATTGCCTACTCTGGTGCGTTTCCTGTCATAATGGCTTCTGTGGAAAAGAGACTATAAGAATATTAAAGGTGCACGATTTCTCAGGTAGAATTAAGGACATGACATGTTAAGAACAAGCTTGTGAAAACAGATTTTGATGCTAATATTAGCATAACGGTAGCCAGGGGCGGCGGGTACTGTATGCTAGGGAAGGCTAAGCCTTCCCAAATATTTGTGTCACTGCATCCTGGTAAAATAAAAATATAATGTCTGTGTCTTTGACATTAGCGCTGCTATGCAGCCACCTGTGCCCTGTATACGAAGCCAGTTCAACAGACCCTGGATATGTTTGAGTTATCTTAACTAACCCTAACAAACGAGATCTCGCGAAGCCAGTGACCACCAACTGGCGGCCCGCGGGCCACATCCGGCCCGCCAGACATTCTCATCCGGCCCGCACGACAGGGGTGACTGCGGCGTGGTTACTGTGTGCAGTACCGGAGTCCAACAGAGAGGCAGCAGCTGCGGGACAGTAGACTGCGTACTGCAAAACCTTCCCTGTCTTGAAGAAGAAGTGATCCTTCTTTGTGAAGAGTCTGGTTTGTTCGCTCCGCACCACAGCAGCAGCCCCGCTGCGACAGAGTCCAACAGAGAGGCAGGAGCTGCGGGACAGTAGCCTAGAAGCAGGGTTGGGTTGTAACGGAATACATGTAACGGCGTTACGTAATCAGAATACACAAATCAAGTAGGCTAACTGTATTCAGCTGGCGTTACATTTGAAAAACGAGTAATCTGATTACAGTTACTTTCGTAAACCTGAAGTGAATACATTTTGGAATACTTATTGGAATTATTGGTGGAAAAATGTAATATTCACAAAATGTAATATTCATTACCGGCAGAACTGTGTGCACACTGCACAGCGCTGCAGTATGTCTGTGAGCGAGAGAGAGATGCAGCGCGTCTGTGAGGCCCCGCCCCCGCACGCAGATGAGAGAGAGATCTCTTTTAAAATATATTGAAAGTTAGAAACGGAGATGGTTAGATAAAATGTGCAAGATAACGTTTATGTAGCATTTATTTATTGTCGAAATGATGACATTTCATAACGGGATCAAATCAAAGTGAATGGCCTGCTGCTGCTGAATGCCTGGGGCAAGTGACTGGAAAAAGTTTTAAAAGTTATAACATCGTTTCAGATAATACATAATAATGATAATTCATTCTATTTAGGGGCGCCTTTCAAAGCACCCAAGGACACCTTACAATTCATAACATATTCTAAGGAAAGGTGTTAAGTCAGTACAAAGAATGCAGTCCGGGTGATGTTTTTTATGTGGGGTGCAGATGAGAGGGAGCTGTCCAGAATGACACCAAGATGTTGTGTTTGAGTTCTTGATAAGCCATTAAAACAGTCAAATACGTGTCTCCTGTTCACCAAAACATACCCATCTGTTATGGAAAAAGAAAGTATTCTAAAAGTAATCTGAAAATGTTAAAGTAGACCCGATTCCAACGTTTAAGACACGTAACTGTAACTGTATTCTGATTACTTTCAGAGCCATGTATTCAGTATTTAGTAACTGATTACAGAACACTCAATACCCCCCCCCCCGGTCTACAACTTCAAAATTCTGGACTATATCAAAATCGCTGGCCCGCGATATTGTCTATTGGATACATTTTGGCCCTTGGACAAATGTAGTTGGTGATCCCTGCGCTAAGCGGTCCTACGGCACTGGTTATCAACTCGGTGAATCAAGCCAGGGTTTCTCTCTCCAGCTGAGAGCGCGTTCACGTGAAAGGGGCGGGGTTAGCAACATTTGACCAATCACAAACAGGGACAAGTGTACTGACAGCGCAGAGTCATACTTCATTAATGAAAAGTAAACTAATATTAGACAAATATGAACTTTAAACATCCATGATTTAAACATATAATCCAGGATACAAGCCACATAGTTGCACCTGTAAGGTGAATATAGAACAACTGGTTAAAAAATAACTACCGAGTGTTTGAAAGCGTACAACAGTTTTATGATACTGCCCCATCTAAGACACGAGTGGATCTGTCTTGAATATAGGCTACATTTGAGTTGAGTGTTTAGTCAACATAATGTGTTGCTTAAAATAATACGTCAGCATACAGGATGTGACAATGTAAGTGTTGCACGGCCAGATACGGCTCGAGAAGCTGACTCAGATAAGGAAATATTGTGATATTATATGATCGATGATCTGATTGATGATGTGATATCAGTGTGATATGAACAGTGTTGGGACTAACGCGTTACAAAGTAAAGTGATCAACAGATTGTATTATTCTCCAATGCAATAACAGTACTGAAATGAAGGCTATAAGGGCATTAATGGGAGCCCTTTTGTTAAGTAACTAACAAGTTACTTTTCACAGTAACGCATTACTTTCTGGTGTAAGTAATCAGTAAAGTAACTGAGTTACTTTTGAAATGAAGTAGCCTAACTAGTAATGGTAACTAGTTAGCCTACTGGTTTTCAGTAACTAGCACAACACTGGAT